CATATTGGCATTATCCTCTTCCCGTTCATTCTCCTCTTGATTCGGATTATTACGACGACTGGGTTCTCCTTGATGAGTTGTCAGTGCCGCAATTTGCTGGTCATGCATCTCTCTCATCTGCTGCATGGCCATTTCCATCTCGAACTTAAAAGCTTCCTTCTGCTTAGTCAAGGCATCTTCAAGCATCTTGCTTACTTGTTCGGCGCTGATCATAAATGATTCATAAGGCTGCCCCGCACTAGACGCCGTGTCATCGGATGCTATAGCCGAGTAGGAGTCTGAACCAGCATCTGACGCCTCTTCTTCCAAAGGAAGTCCTTTTTGCATCCTTTGGTAATTCTTTCGCCTATTGATCCCTGACCGCAATCGAGTCATGCGCTGGGATGCTTCGGCAAGTTGATCTGAGCTAGAAGGTCGTGTCGATTTTCCTCTGCCGGTCATATTAGCAGACACCTCTAAGAGTTCGTCTTCTTGGCGGATAGGCTTCTTCCTACGTAAACGCCTTGGCCTGGTCTCGGACGTTCCGATGGAAATTCTTTCGAACACCGAAACTCTCCTTGGGGCTTTAGCGCAGCAGCATTCCGACAACACCGCCTTGATTATGTTGGCACACGGACAGTGAGATTCCGTGTCTCGAGTATCTCTCTTTCGAGACTTACCCGTACCCCCAGCTTTATAGTACAACTCATTAGTTTGATAACTGGAGCAACCCATAGAGTATTGGCATGATCTCCCAGGTATAACACCATCATCATCAGACGAATGTGTTTTCCTCTGGGGATATGACGCTTTATTAGCGTTTTCAGAAGTCGCTCGTTCAAGTCTACGCTTTTGCGAGCGTGAAAACTTAACGGGCTCTTGAACTTCGACACGCAATCCAATGCGGTCGGTAACAGGAGCTTTCCCTTTGTTATCTTTCCTAGGGGGATTAGCACGACCCCCAGTCTGGTTTGTTGTTTGGGGACCTTTCATCGGTCCCAATCGCTCCTTGACAGGTGCTTTACCTCGGTTTTCCGGTAAAGGACCGAGGCGACCTTTCAAAGGAACCTTGGATCTAGGAAGACCCACGTTCTTACCTAGCTCCGCCGGAGGGGCAAGGGAAACGGGATCTGGATTTGATGAAGTTTGGATGACAATTCCGTCCACCTTTGCCTTTGGTGCCGGTTTTGCCTTTGGCACCCAGATCTGCTTGTGTTTTGACGGCTTCTTGACCGTCTCTTCTTTCTGCATCTCTTCCGCTTTCTGCAGAAGGACTCGGGCATGCGCGAGCAATGCGCGGCGCTTCTTGATTCGTTCTTCGAGAGTTGAGCGAGTCCTCTTGACACGAACCCATTCGTTCGTCTCTGTCTTGGAGGAGGAGTTGGTTGTGCGCCGTTGTTGCTCTTGGCGCTGTCTAGACTTTAGATCCTCATTGTAGCGGATCCCGTCCATCGATTCTGTGGCCTTGGCTAACTGTCGCGCAAGGCGTTGACGCCGTCTTTGGCGCGCCCTCTTCGACAAGGTTGGAACACCTTCAGCAGTTGACTTCGTGGCGGAAGGGAGATCTGGATCTGCAACTTCGACCACGTTGGACGCCATTGGAGCGTCGCGGTGAGTAAGTGCAACGGCGGCAAGGGGATCTTGGATCTTCGATCCTGAGGGCCCGTGAGCACTCTTGGAAGATGAAATCTTCCTGTGCCTGTTTGGAGAGGCGGATCTGGAGGAGGAGGAAGAGAGGTACTCTTCAAACTTTTGTTGATCGAACTCGTATTCGATCTCTTCGTTCACCCGGATCTTGAAAGACAGTTGCGTCACGACGGCCTCGGCAGCGAGGTCGTTGGCTCCCACTGTGGTCGCCAGCTTGTTTTCGTCAAAAGTTGCCTTCATCATTGATTTCATTAAACTTCAAACGTTACAAATGAATTCAAACAACAAAGAAATAAAAATTACAACTTTCTTAAAAATAAACACAAGATCCGTTCGTCGTCTCTTGCTTGCGTGGGCTTTTGGCCTGTGACGGGGATGCTGAAAAATCAGGCAGAGCTTCGTCTCTCCGCGAAGGGATCGAGAAAACTGTAGCGCCTATCTCGGATAAAGCGAGATATTTGCTCTTCTTAGGATTACCAACGAGGGGTAATGCTAAGGAACGGATGCGGGTGATGTAGATCTGATGAAGAAACTCTCTTGCGTTGAAGTGCTCGGTCACTCTTCACTCCGGCAGGGCTTCGCCTCTTCTCCAAAATTCCAGCCCTAAAAAATGAGGCCTAAGGCTTGTATTTATAGGCTTGAGAGGATAACAGAGCGGTTAAAACGGGCTAAGGGTATCTTTCAAAATCCGGGACACCCCTGGGGTGTCTCACAAAACTCGAGACACCCTTGGGGTGTCTCAGAAAATCCGAGACACCCCTGGGGTGTCTTGGAAATTCCGAGACACCCTTGGGGTGTCTCGGAAAATCTGAGACACCCCTGGGGTGTCTCAGAAAATCTAAGACACCCCTGGGGTGTCTCGCATTAACCGAGACGCTCGTTGAGGTGCATTCGTCCGCTTCCGCTGTAAATTCTTCGTCCGAACTCGGATTTTAGTGATTCGAAGTGCGTTGGAAGTCCGACGAAGAGTTCTATCAGCTCCAATGGTTGGATTATTTGTAGAACGAACGAGACATGAAGGGCGTTGTTCTTTTTGTAACATCGCGGGGCTCTCGATTAGCCCGTGCCTTCGTTATCCCGAAATTCTGTCAGCTCACGTAGTTCGTCGGTTCACTTCAATCGTTCACCGACGTCAGTCGAACTCTTGTGAACCGGATAGTGATGTTCATTGTCGTTCCTTAACACTGAGCTATTCGTGGAGACCTATAGGCAATTTTCGATGCCTACATTAATGACGCGAGAAATAGTGGATGAAGGCATACCTTCTTCTTGCAGACTCTCAATAAGTTTTTTACAACTTTGAGATTTATGGAATTGTTGGTGTGATCTGTGCATCTTTGCTTTGTCTGGACTACTCAACACATGATTTGTATGTTCTTCAACAAACCCCGTGACCTCCCACGATTTGTCCTCCAATACTTTAACTCTCATCATTGCCTTACATCCCACTCGGGTCTCTCGCCGAAAAGGCATCTCCATCTTGTCTCTATTAGATCTAAAGCCCCCTTATCACAAACAAACTTTCTGTCCAGCACGTCTCTTGTCTTCTTCGAGTAATTTACTGTGCTCTTCCTTATTCCAAAACACATCAACAATGCGTAATGGTTATAATAGTTATAAGCTTCTTCATAAGTATTAAATTTCATTTCGAGTAGTGGCTTAGGAGCATTTTCTGTACTGGCAGAAATTTTAATTCCACTAGCACTTGATTCTCCCATTTCGAACACTTTTTTTGCTATAAAAGAGATGCATGGATTCATCAAGAAAAATACATGAATTTACACAAAATTAATTAGTTTTATGGCTATAATGCATGCAAACGAACTACATCTCTGTTTCTACTAACTGTTGAAGTTTGTTTTCAAATACATGAATTTATAACCAAGACTCAATAAGAAAAATACATGAATTTATAAATGTTATCATGATTGACTCATGTACATAACTTCTTCACGTTTGTGTCCATATATGGTAAGAAAATAATAGAAATTGGTTGATAAAATATTTTGAAAGAAGGAATCATGCAAAGGATTTGATGTCGAAAACTTGTGAAGGGGATTCGCTCACACCTTCTTCGACTTATTTCTATATCCAGACATGTAATTTTTCTTTTTGAGACAAGCTGGTTAAATTTTGTAATAAACTCCAATTGATCCAGCAAACAGGTTTCCCATTTTTTGTCCTTGTTTTTGTTTTTCTGGTTGCAGCTCATCTCTGTTGGACGCCTTTCTAAAGGAATCAAACTTATTTTCACCTTTTTCTACTTATTTCAAGTTATGTATGGATTATATGGAAACCGTCAACATCTTTCTTTTAGCAAAGTTGAAGAAATTATCCTGTTTCTTGTTTAAATTTAGTGCCAGTTGATGCATATGGCAACTTACTGGGTGCGCGCTTTATCGGGGGTCACGAGCGTCGGAGTGAGAGAGGGCACGCCGTCGGTGGTGGTGCGCTGCTCGGTCGGGGGTCACGAGTGTCGGAGTGAGAGAGGGGGTCACGAGCGTCGGAGTGAGAGAAAGGGCACGCCATCGGTGTTATGCACTCTTCTAGCTGGCAGGCATATATATATATGTGTATTTGTGTGTGTGTGTGTGTATGAACGTATGTATGTATGTATATGTATGTGTACATATATACGCATATCTATATATACACATACATACATACACATAATATATAGATATACGTATATATGTACACATACATATACATACATACACACGTACGTGTGTGTGTGTATATATATATATATATATATGAGCAATATGGGTATGCTTGATACCAAGCACAAAAAGTTATGCTTGGTAGTGATGTGTCACATCCTCCTCCACTCATTCAAATATGGGACCATATTCACATGAGTAGTGAGTGGATGGGGATGTGACACATCACTACTAAGCACAAAATTTGTACTTGGTACCAAGCATACCCATTTTTCTCTATATATGAGCAATGTACATTTCCCCTCCTCAAAGTATATACTAATTTCTTGCAATGTCGAAATCCTTTCTTAATTATATTATTTATAGGTCCAGACGTGGTGATTTTTGTTTTAAATCTGTGAGATCTACATTATTTGAAAGGAAAGCTCCAAACATGGCGTGTGTCATAAAAAAAATTGTTTGCTTATGTTCATTTATCACAACTATTATTCTGTTGTCTTCTAATTTTGTTAATTTCTACCGTTTTGTTTCTTCATTTTCTTTCATGTTTTAGCTTTCAATCAATGGAGTAGAGAGACTTTCCAACCCGACCCGTTAAACACGAGTTATTGGATGGCCGGTGCCGACCCGTTAAAGCCAAGGTTTTGGGTTTTTAGAGCCCGATCCAACAACTCGAGTCCTAATCCAATTTATGGTCCAAAATTCAAGCCCTTATTACTTTCGTTCAACCGAACCCAAATTCGCCTTTTCCCCCCCTTCTTTTTATTTATTTATCGACCGCCCCTCTCATCATCGTCGTCGTCATCTTCATCGTTGTCTCGACGCTCAAAATCCTCACCATCATGTTTCAATTCGCTCTAAGGAGAGCAGCGACCGGAACTGGGTCGCTAGCTTCGAGATTCTACACAACGGGCAGCAGATCCGACGCTCCTCATCACGAGCGAGTCGCTCGCCAGATGATCCGGTACGCGCTCGGCCACGCTCGATCTCAGAAATCAGGTCATCTTCCTTTTATTTTACTTATTTCTTTACTTCTGCGAACAAAGTCTGGGTTTTGATCAGCCCTTGCTCTCTCTGTAGGAGAATCGTACGCTCAAGCGATGATGATATTGGAGCAAGGGCGGTCGAATCTTGAGGGCGGTGGTGATACTGAGAATGCTAGGGAACTGTTCATGCTCGCTATGTCCACCTTGCTTTATGAAAGGTTCCCTTTTCGTTTTCTTTGGTTGGTTTGGGGAGGGGGGGCTTTTAGTTGATGGGTTGTGTTTAAATGGTGAGAATTTGATGAAGAGATATACATTTTTTGTCCAGAGGGGAGATTGGAGATGCCTTGGAGAAGCTCCAGATGGTTCGCCAGTCCGAGCGTGCATCTCACACGCTGAAAGGTAATTCCTTTTTAGTTGTGTTTGAAAATGCACTCAAGGTTGGTGAAGAAATTGCTGATTCATTTAAGACGTGTGAACTTTGATGCACCCTGGCTGGGAATTAGTTAATACATTTAAGCAAATAGTCTAGCTTTTGCTACCTCATGGAATCAGCGCACCCTGGCTGGGAATTAGTTAATACATTTAAGCAAATAGTCTAGCTTTTGCTACCTCATGGAATCAGCAACGAATCTAATCACTCGTGTTGTCACATTTAAGCAAATAGTCTAGCTTTTGCTACCTCATGGAATCAGCAACGAATCTAATCACTCGTGTTGTCGGATTGTGTTGATCATATGCGATGTGTTCAGCTGATACTAACATTTTGTACTCACTTAATTTTACAGTTGCAGCAGCCGAGGGTTTGGTAGGACTTAACTTGGAAGCTGGGGAGGTACGTAAATTGAACTATAATAGGTTTTGGTTACTTCGGAATGAATTCATGTGAAGGCTGACTCTGTAGGACTCTACTTCATCTGCCCTAGCAGATGATTGCTTGCAATTGTTGAGCAACTCGGAAGGGATTGTGAAATTACGGGCTAAAGCTGTCAAGGGACTTGTGCATCTTGCCCTTGGGGAGCTTAAATCAGGTTTGGTATACAAATTTATCTTTGTAAATTTCCTTTTAAAAAAAAGTTTGATACGTTGTACTGGACAGCCAGGAGAGGATAACTGAGATCTCTTTTTCTGTATCAGCGGAAACATTTTTTGATGGGTGTCAAGACTGCAGTTTGGAGGACCATAAAGATCAAATGGGTACCTTATGCTTCTTCAGCTGATAAAGAAACTGGTTTTCTCTTCGTATCTAGTATATGACACTTGAAAATGAGCTCTTTTGCTGGTTTCTAGGAAATGCTTCCCTGTCTAATGGAGTATTTTTGCATGCTACTGGAAATTTCTCCGAGGCGAAGAACATCTATGACAGGCTTATCCATGTATTTGAGTTGGAAGATATTGCTGAAAGTTCATATTTGGCATCTGCTAATATGGTCCCTGGAGAAGTTTTGTTGGGAGCCACCTGTGCATTAGGTCAGCTCTTATCACAATCAGGGTAAAATCCTTTTTCATTAATTGCCACTAATTTCAAGGTGCTCATGGTATACTCGTCAAGATCAAACTTCCCTGGGAAATTTTGTAGCATAAATGCCGGTAACAATATTGGACTAGTCCCTTGATGTACTCACCATTAATCAATAGTCTAGCCCATCCAGCCATCTCTACAATGTTCTCTGTGGCTCTGTATCAGTTTCCAGTTAAAAGTTCCTGATTCTTTTGATTAACGTGCTTGTGTATTGTTTCTAATTTTTGACATTCAGGAAGTTCGGAGAGGCTGAGGATATACTAACAAAGGCACTGACCAAGGCTGAGGAACATTTTGGTTTGTTCAACTCGATTTGATCTTCAATTATATGAACTATGGTTCTTGCAACCTATATTGGTATTAAAACAATCAAGACAAACATCGAGCTCACATGCCACTGCATGACTTGATCTAGGTCCAATGCATCCAAAGGTCGGGGTTGTACTAACTTGCATAGCTACTATGTTCAAACATAAAGCAAAGCTGGAAGCTTCAAGTGCCATATTGATCCAAGAGGTTAGTTCATCATGTTTATTTACCTGATACAATTCACTTTGGCATTCCCTGATGAATCAGACCTCCATTCCTTACCTCTCCTTTGTCTTTAATCATCATAGCCAATGAACTCTAGCTCATTCTTCAACTAAGATTTTCTCCACTTCGTTTATCAGGTGTTATATTTAAATCTCATATTTTCTAGAAAATATGTATGACATTGACAGGGACTCTACAGGAAGGCGATAGAGTTGCTGAAAGCTCCAGCTTTAGATAGTGAAGGTACTCAATGTTCCGTGTTCTATTAAGATGTTCTGTTTTTATTCTGTTTATTCTTTTTTTTTAAATGGTTTCTGGTGATTTGCAGCTGCCAATAAGCAAGTTGCCAGAGGAGACATAGTTGCTCTTGCAAGAGGTAATCAAGTAAAACTCCTTTATTTTATACATGTAAACTTGCAGAGTCTCCTCTATTTTCAAGCGATATATGGATAGTAGTATTTCATGGTTAAAGAATGGGGAAGTTACATTTTCTGTTATGAGAACCACTTTTTTTTCTCGAGGAAATTGCACTTCTTCGTACTTAGCATATCGTTGTACAAATACGTAGTTAACTGGTTCTTCTTCTGAAAGAGAAACGTAAAATGTACATTCTCTTGACAAGCCTCCCAAGAAGAGAGATATCTAGCTGAGTGGTTGTCAAACTAGATCCATTGTAGACTAAATCTGTCTCCTTCAGCGCATTCTGAATCTGCTGAATCTGCCAAGTTTAATTGGCAGCTTCAATTGCAACGCGATCTATTAATTACCAAATATTCTAGATCTGTGTTCATCAGTGTCCATCATACAGTGAATATTACCTCTTAGGTGGTCTCTCACCTTATAAGAAAATATCTATCAGTACACCCTGGTTATGATTGCTCTCAAATCAGTGGTATATAGGATTACTATTGTTTTTCCGCTAAAATACGGAATTAGTGGTTGAACCTGATAGCCGGAGTAGACGGGTGTTAGAGAGAGATACCAGGATGAATAAATGGCAGCAGAAAAGTGCCTGAAGAGGTTCATGGTCATGTTTAAACGTGACTCACAGTTTGATCAGTGAGGTCATCACATAATTAAGCACCCATTGTGGCCCTATTAGAAAATTTTGGTTGATATAATTATTGAAGAACATCTACTACTTGTGTCCTTGACAGCTCCATTTAGCTACAAGTTCATTCCTGCACTTAAATCATCACTTACAAATTCCCTTTTGAACCTTCTAAGTATAACCTAATTTCCTTTTTATCCCTAAAATAAATTCTAACTAGCTATGTAATAGTTAGATTAGAGGTATCCCTTGCTAGGCACCTCAAAAAATAGGTATTCCTAATTTCCTTTTTATCCCTAAAATAAATTCTAACTAGCTATGTAATAGTTAGATTAGAGGTATTCCTTGCTAGGCACCTCAAAAAATAGGTATTCCTTGCTACTGGATTTGAATCTCATGATTAAAAGAAATCTACTTGCTTTCTGGTTGTTAAGGTGGATATGCGGATGTCCTATGCATTCAACAGAATAGAAAGGCAGAGGGCGAACGAATGAGGAACTGGGCTGAAGCTACTTGGAAGAACCGCCGGTTATCTCTGGCCCAAGCGCTGGAATTCTCTGAACCAACCCAAGCTGCAGTTATTGACACCCGGATCTGTAGAGTCGTCTAAATCACAACGATTTCACTGCATGTACTAATCCTTGAGGGTTTCAAAGGATGAAGAAGCTAATGTTAGGTGGCTGAGTGTTCGGCATTTAGCGAATTGAGCCACCTACAGACATCAGTCTCTTAGCTTGAGTTTTTTTTAAGTGTATTTCTACTTGTAATGTAATAAGCCCTACCTGAGCTTTTGGCCATCTGAGGGCGAGAGCATCCTGATCACTGTTTTTGTGTCTTTCTTCCCAAATTGCTATATTTGTATTTACTTCACCGTGATTCTGCAGTTAAGCTGTATCAGTGCATTTCATGTTTTCTAGTTTCATGATTAATGCGCTCTGTACTTTGCAAAATCTTCTACAGGATAAAGTTCACTTGGTGAAAATGTAAATAGCGCTTTGTTTGATCACCGGATCACGCAGGACGTAGCAAATAATTATGGAATATTAAGCAGGCACAATTCGAGCATAATTCTCTGCAAGTGAACCAGATAATTAATAAACATTTCGGTTATTATTCGTCCAGACATTCCCCCTCGAGTCTCGACGCTCTCTTCCTCCCCCCAGTCTCGAAGCTCTCATTCCCCCTCCAGCGTGTCCCCAACTATCACCCTTTCAAAAAATTGTAAGATAAAGCTTAAAATTTTTCGTTTTTCTTGATTTTGACTTGAATTAGTTGCTAAACGAATATTTGCGATTGCTTACCAAATGCTAATAATACTTGTCGAGTCGAATTCGGATGATCATTAAGCGTTCGAGTCGAATATGATGAACACGACTTCGAACATGTGGATTTGGGT